GAGGATCTATTGGTAGAAATGTAAATTAATATTCAGAGGTATGTTAGTCATTAGTATATAATCACTTGAATATAGGTATTGTTTTGTTTTAGTTACCTTACTTTACTACTTACTTTAGTTACTTAGTATACAAGTCAAAACAACACCAAGATTATATATGTATTGACCTCTTTGCTAAAACAAATTTTAATTTCAGTGGGATTTTTATAAATAATTCACAAGGATGTGTTTTTTCTGAACTTTAACTTTTGATTTTTGCTTATTTACAGTATCACGTTATGAATATTTAATGTTAAAAAACATGACTTTAGATTTGGAACCAAGTTTTCATACACTTTAAACTCCCGAAGAGCAGAATTAAAGGAAGAAGGGAACAGACTTGTATCATTTCTATTTAAAGACTTCAACCCTTTGAAACTGCAGATCCAATTCAAACACGGCACATAATCAGAGATAAGCTGCCAGTCTGGCACCATCACAGGGTTAACACCTACAGATTGAGATGGACACGACTCTGTGATCTGTGGATCCACGCCTGACGTTCAACTCTCCCATATGGGATTCAAACAGAAGTGACTCACCAAACGTCACAACACTAATGGTGTGTTTCCTGCAACAAACTACACATTTTCAGAGATTTTCACTGAAATGTTGGAAATAAAATATGTCCTAGTTCAGGCCTGGTCTAAAGTTCAGACATGAAAGACTGTTTCCACTTTGTTTCAGTGTGGGCGTGTGCTCATGTTCTCTGACCTCCCAAAGCACGTCCTCCTTGTTCCCATTATATCAGCAGCATATGTGCTCTCCATCTGTATAGACAGCGTGCATCTGTGTTTTGTGTGTGTCTGTATATGAGTGAGAGATGATGATAGCTTTCTCTGTTCCTTCATTTCCTGCCAACAGCAGCGAGGAGATCTAGACTGTTAAAGCCGGCCTGATCTTCCCTGCTGTGTGTGTGTACAAAATCTCATAGCTGATAAGATGATAAGACTTCCATATACTACTATTCACCCAGTAATATAGTTTGTTATGTTTGTAAGCAGTTCCTGAGAAAAGCATTTTGACTTTAAGGCAAAATTTTAAGATGTTTATATCAAAATCTACTTTTGTGGATTTTTCTACTGAGTGAGACCTGGTGACAGAATATAAAGGGAGTGACCCATCAAAACCTGAAGAAAAAAAACACAGTTGATATGCTTCACTGTCTTTTGACGGATGGAAGATGAAGATGAGTGTGCTCTGTTGAGAGTTGTCTCAACATCAAAGATTTCTTGGTATTTATAACATTTTCAGTCACTTGCTACTGTCTGGAGCTGCCAAAATAAAAGGCAAAATAAAGCAACAACTTCTATATTTTAATTTGTTCGATGTCTATTTGTATGCAGACGACTTTTATCTATAATACTGCTGCAATATTTATACTTTTACTTAAAAAAAAAAAAAAGGTCCAGTGTGTAGGATTTAGCACAAAGGAGAAACTACAGTGAAACACGCAAAAAATGTGAGAGCCAGTGTTTAGTTTGCCTCTTCTGGGCTACTGTAGAAACATTGTGGTTCTACATGGCCTCCACGGAAGGCAACCCGCAGTGTCTGTAGATAAAAATGGCTTATTCTAAGGTAACAAAAACAGATTGATTTCTATATTCCGGTAATTATACACTAATGAAATAATACCTATGTATATTTTATTCCATTTCTGCCAATAGATCCTAAATGTTACACACTGGACCTTAAAATACAAACCTGCCTCTGCATCATAAGCGGATAGATCCATGTCACTGGAAATACTAGTTAATAATTGAATCTTAGGTGTCAAATTTTGTAAATAAGCTTTACTACAAACTACAAACTTTGCACTTCATGTCTGTCATCACATTGGTCAGAGCCTTTGTGTATATATGAATGACAACCAAGGGATTGAGGGTCTAATGCTGTTTCAAATTAGCCAGTGCAATCAATCGTGGAATTTTTTTAATTGTGAACATTAAATTAGTTGGAAATTATATAGACTTAACTGTAAAAAAAAAAAAAAAAAAAGTCACAAAAGGCCATTTTTACACACTTTATACACAGGGATTTCCCCAAAACAGCCAACCCTATTTCTTCCCTTCTTCCAACTTCCGTCCTTTCCCTGGGGGTCCCCCTTACCACCCACTCACGGACCCCTGTTGGTCCACGGACCCCAGTTTGAAAACCACTGCACTAGATGACCTTATAAACTTCCAATTCAAGCAAAAAGGAAAAGACAATGTTTAATTGGATGTCTAGTTCTTCTCATTATTATTATATGCACAGTGTCTTTCTTCACTGCAATCACATGAAAACTTTTCAGCATTTAATCAAATTGTTACCTGAGCACTCTTCCACGACCTCAGCAGGCTCTTGATTGGTCATCACATCTGGAGGTCCTGATGCCATGGCAGCGCTGTCACTGCTGTGAGACAGAGAGAGACGCTGATGAGCAGAACCACTCCTCAAAACAACACTTGTGCAGGTACGTAATGATAACACGACTAATTGCATTGATTTATACACTGTTTGCATAATACAGCAGTAAAAAAAAAAAAAAAGGTCAAGGCAAGGGGAAGGATGCTCATGTTTCCCGACAACAATCTATATAAACAATTTCCATAAAAAATCTAGGAAAACTTAATCAATCATTAATTTAATTTAGAATTTGGTAGAACATTGCAAGGCTCATCCTTTATTCTGACATATTTGATTGGACAAACTTGTAACCTCGGAGTTACAGTTTATCTGTCTGTTGTGTAGAAAAGTGCAGAATGTGATTTACCATGAAATACTGACCGATCCTGTCTTAGTGGAAGAATAATTAATAACCATAATTACGCTACTACTGCTGTGCCACTTTGCCTAAAGATGCCTATTCTTAATTTGGAGACGCTCACTGCTGCTGTGTGATGGCTATAGGTGTAATAATCAATATAAATAATCAGATTATTTAGTGATGTGATGTTTTTTCCTTTTATCACTTATACCAGCCTGACGCCTTGTGATGTGATCTGTATTACAATGTGATTGAAATCCCATTAAGGCAGAAATGGATCTTGAGGAATATTCATGGGGTGGCAGAAATATACGCTGAGTTAACAATCACATATATCAATATTTACTTGGAGAACTGCCCCAAATTATATTAATAGATATTTTAACTCAAAAATATTACATTATTGTGGCACATTGATAAAGCATTAAAGATATATCTAAAGGTGCTATTTGAGATCAATAAATTGTCTTTCTTCATTCACTCAGTCTAAAATGTGGCCCTAACAGATCATTAAATTAATTTCTGCTTTTTAAAATGTTATTTTTAAAATTAATATAAAGTAATCTGTAAAATTCTAAAGGCCAGGCCTTTTTTTTTATCCCCCCCTGCATTTGGTGGATCCATCCCAAAAAGTGGTTTGGCATGGACTGAAATCATCAGGGAGTTCATCGACAGAACAGGATTACACAGCTGCTGCTTTATAAAATAAATTCTGTCTTAAATTGTTGAGACAAACTTCAAATTGCTCTATAAAACTTCTAGTCCAAGCTGTTATGTTACACTTCGGTCCGATCTGAATCCAGTCTCCAGCCCAATCCTTCACTACAGTCCAAACAGTCTCAACAGAAGCATCTCAGCTATGTTTCCAGTGCTCTGCTCTGCCATCCACTTCTGTCTACTGAAACATTCACGTCAGAGCACCAGCAGATACCCAGCAACCCCCGAACACAAACTCAAACACATAAAATCGCTTTACTGATATCTTGCTATGGCTCTCACTGCGCAGCAGCATGGAGGTCATTAACTTGACTGTGTGAGACATCAGGATCAGAGGTCAGCATCGGACACATGTCAAAACTATTACAAAATCTATGAGCGATTATTGTTGCAAACCACAAGTTTCAGTTGCGCGCTTCCCTTTATGTAACAGGACTATTTATTAATGAGCCATGTCCAGCAGACAGGAAGTTGGAGGCCATGTGAGAGTTCATCTCCAGCATGTTGAACCAGTTAGATGCTCTCTCATACAGAGGGACCATTAATGCACTAAGTTTTACATGACTCCTTATTCTAGTCTCAAATCTAATTAGCTATGCACTTTATGAACAAGACTTCCTGCGTAGTTCGGCAGGAAGCCGAGTCATTCCTGATACGATTTTCAGTAAATTGATATCTCAGAATAATTGTGGCTATTTCACCATTAACCTGGTGCAGTCATGAGAATAGGATTGGAGAGGAAAGAGGTGTTTTCTTAGGCCAAAATTCATAAAATGAACAACTAAACTGAAACTTGACAACCTTATTTTTCACTGGTCTGAGTAACAGAACTTAATTTCTTATTCTCATGGTCGGGTCGGTCTGTCCACCTCTTTGGAAATATCCTAACAACTATTGGATGTATTGCCATGACAGTTTGTGCATAGGATGATTGCCAGTGACGTTGAATTTTCTTCTAGCGCCACGTGAGGTTGTCTTTTTGTGGTTTTAAGAAAAATCAAATATTAATATTGCCTTGAGGATGAATTGTAATAACTTTGGTTATCCTCTGACTTCTCCACCAGCGGTTTGTGACTATGTAATATGTACAAAACTGTTGACATTCCCATGAGCCTCAGTTGTTCAGGGCTTATTAGCTAATGTTAGCATGCTAACAAGCTCAGGGACTAATAAAGGTCTTGAACTTCATGGTGACCATTTCATGTACCTGCTAAACATCAGCATGTTATCATTGTGTTTTTCCTTGTGGTATACTGAAAACTAATTCTTTGTTAAGTGGCATGAATCTTGTTTAAGAGGACTTTGCATCCCAAACTGTTCATTATGCAGGTCATCAATCTCCTGTCCTTCAATATTTCTAACAGTGTCCTGCTGGTAAAAACCACAACATCAAAACTGTGTGGAAAGTGAAATACTTAACAAAAAGACGAATAAAAACGTGATTAATTTCCAACTAAATTGAATTCAAGGAGAAAAAACAGGTTTCACAAGGGCCAGGTGGAAATCTTTATACAGGGACTAAAACACAAAGGACACTAATGAGATACAATACATTTTTAGGTAATAGTGTTACAGACTTGTTAGAAAAT